TAGATTTTTTTTTTTTTTTTTTTTTAAAAACATGTGGCCATGAACTTTACCGGGCTTATTTTAATGAAAGATTCCTTGTTTTTTTTTTTCAGGAAATGTATGTATCACTGCGTTAGTCTATAAACAGAAGAGCCTATTGTACCTCTTGCACCATTGCTTGAGTATTATTAATTGTCATTAATGGATTGTTATACAGTATGATGTTGGTTTGGGTTTTTTTTTTTTTCATAAACATTCCTTTATACTAGAAGGTTAGAGACAACTCTTCTCTTTCACACACCTTATCTCCAAGTTTCTCGTCAGTTGAAATGAGTTAATTATTAGTAAATAGGGTTTGGCAGTCTAAAGAGAAAAACAAGACTAATAGTGCTATAGTATGGGAGCAAAGCAAAATTCTCAAAAGATCCCTGAGTATAAAAGCATACACTGGATTTTTTGAATTAAATGTATTTATACCCACAAAACTGATTCATATCTATAGGGAGTTAAATATGCTGCTAAATTATAACTTGTTTTGTTTGGTGTGTCCAGGTAGGGGAAAGGGTTCCACACATTTGGGACAAATGTTAACGTTGCGTAAAACACCATAACTCACTGTTGTTCTTAGCATTATTGTCCTTGTCCTGATTCGTGCTGTGCTGAGTGTCCACAACTGTGTATGCGTACATTCTGCAGCGCTCCCGGTGGACACGATTTGCCCTACGAGGTGCAGCGAGCCCAGGAAATCAACAAGATGTTCGGACCCAAGGGGAGCCCCGAGGCCTACGATGTCATTTTTGATCTCCACAATACGACGTCCAATATGGGCTGCACCCTGATCCTGGAGAACTCCAAGGACCACTTTAATCTGCAGATGATGAACTACATAAAGGTGACAGCCCCCAGGAGCATGCACATATACACACGGGCACACCGATACGGGAATTTGGAAATTTGCCGCACCAGCACAAATGTTACTGTTGCTACTAATGGTTTCTGGAAAAATCGAAGAAAATTCTGCGCTGCTCTGTCTTATTAGTAGAAGTTTGCTAACTGGAAAAACTGAAAACGTATCATATTAAGAATATCACAGATACTGTGTATATTTTATACAAATATGTTCCTGCAACTGATGTTAGGTTGAACGTTCCAAGCTCAGTGCGCCGTCGCCCATTGTGGGTTGTTAAACTTTGTTAAGCTTTGACCTTTGAGTTCTCCGTGTGACTTTTGAATTGGCTTTAGTAATCCCTTTTCAAAATCGGGACCGTTAATCATTTAAGAATTCGTCCACACTGTTTTGTTAAAGGACAACCCTGCGGGAGAATAACTTTTCCTTTTAATGATTGAATTATGAGAAACATTCAAACCAGAAAACTTTAAAACACGGCTTTTCAACCTTTTCACAAATATAAATTGAGTACAAATAAAATGCAGCATATAAAACTATCCGAGTTGGTGCATCTAGATTGACAGTTGCAATCACATGAATGCATAAGTAAAAAAAAAAAAAAAAATGTCGCCAGAAATTTGTGATCCACCAAGAACGTTCTGTTCTTTTGAACCAACCTTTGAAGCAGCCTCTCACATTTTACTTTGTTCAAAGAGCATCTGCAGAAGCAGCTGTGCATGGAGTTTTTTTTTTTTTTATTTTATTTTTTATTTATTTATCTGTGTTGTTTTTGTTCTACCTTCCAGAAAGCCATCACACCTGCCAGTTGTCTTGTTCTGCTGAATGAACATCCTCTTCTCAAGTATTCTACCTCACGCTCTGTAGCCAAGCATCCAGTCGGTAAGTCTCTCAGCCTGGGCTATGGGGTAAAATTAGTTAGATTATCCAACAACCACACTACAATATTATATATTTTGAGATACAAGCAAATATTCGCGCATTTTTTCTGCTTTGAGATACGCGTAAAGATTTGAGATACGCCGACACTAGGTGGCCGAGCACTCGGAGTGTTCGGCGACTTCCATAAGCATCGCTTCTGTACGTAGCGTTATCTATGTGATTTTCTTTTCTGTCCCCAAGGGGGCGCATGACAGAAAGTAGCTCTGCTCTAAATAATCCAGTGTCCTTGAAAGGTTATGGAATCTCGGCTGTTATTTGGCATGTGTCTGTTATGACATTGAGAAATGCATGTGCTTTAAGATACTTTAAAGAAATGGACCCAAATGTTTGGCTGTGTATTAAAACAGACATCACTTACCGTATTTTCCGAACTATATCTCGCTCAGCCTAGAAATACATAATAAAGAAGAAAAAAAAACACATATATAAGTCGCTCCGGAGTATAAGTCACACCAGGCAGCTTAGAGTGCCCTCTAGCGGCTGTTAGCGTGAAAATAATTTCCATGTAAATGTTCAGTGGTACAGGAGTAGCAGATACTGGTACACAAGCCTAGAGTGCCCTCTAGCGGCTGTGAGTGTGAAAATAACAAACATGTGATATTATATATTTTAATATATATATATATATATAAGTCGCACCTGAATATAAGTCGCAAACCCAGCAAAAGGATGAAAAGAAGTGCGACTTAATAGAAAAATGAGATATGATGATGCGATGGATGGATGGATGGCCTTTTGACTCTGAAACTCTGAAACTGTTTGTTTTACTTTTTTCAGGTTTGGAAGTGGGACCACAGCCCCAGGGAGTGTTGAGGAGTAATATCTTCGAAGCAATGAGGGATATACTGAAGCATGCTCTGGACTTCATTGAACTCTTCAATGAAGGTAGGATGTGGGAGATAGGATGTGGCATAACATTTGAATAGTGTGTGCACCGAGCGTGTTCAAATGTGTTCAAAGTATTTTAAAATATCAACTGTACATACATTAAAAACCCACCCACTGACATATAAACATAAATTTGAAATAAAAGAAAAAAAATATATATATATATGGATGAGGTCCCTCCAGTGTATATATATATATATATATATACACTGTGTATATATATATATACACTGTGTATATATATATACACTGGAGGGACCTCATCCATATATATATATATTTTTTTTCTTTTATTTCAAATTTATGTTTATATGTCAGTGGGTGGGTTTTTAATGTATGTACAGTTGATATTTTAAAATACTTTGAACACATTTGAACACGCTCGGTGCACACACTATTCAAATGTTATGCCACATCCAAAAACATAATTATGTGATTACTTTAAGAAGTGTGGAAACTGCAAACTAGATTATTAATGCAATCGTGTTTTATTGATACCGCATAACACAATTAAAACGAGTGTGTGATTCATTTAGATGTACACGTATACCTTATTGTATGTTCATTTCACCTGTGCTGTAATCCCTATTTTCCTGGAACTCACTTTTCAAGTTTTCAAGTTTATGTGCAAAACAGCATTTCCTTCCCGGTTTATTTAAACTGGCATTTTGTGCCAAGTGTGAGTCAGACTTGTCTGTTGCTTTCCTCCTCTGACTTGCCTGCAGTTGAATGGCCCACTTGTTTGGAGTTGGTCACCTTCCATGTCCTTAGAGTCCGGCTGCCAGTGCTGTTGTAATCTTCTGCTGTGAGGCCACGCTGGTGCTAATGAATGGTCTGGAACAGTGATGAATCGCTGTGCCTGGGGTTTAAAGCTCAGCAGTGGGAAGTTAAACAAAAAACAAAAAAAAAACTCATTCAGTAATAACAGACGTCTGTGTGGTGCAGTTAGACGCGACTTCAATAACTTCGTAATGATAAAAAATATTTATTTGCTTTTTCCACAGTATGAAAAGGTGTGAATGTTGTTGCGTTCACTCTTGCATATCAATTGCAATGGCAAACGAGTTAAATCATCTACCCGGGAAATGTCAACTTCCTGTCTGGACTGAATATGGTTGTTATGGCACCTTGTTGTTCGCTAAAAAATGACTCAACAAGTTGAAAAGGGGGGTGGGGGGGTAAATAATAGTGTTTGTGTTGCTGCACCACTGCATCTGAATGAAATACCAATGAAAGACATTATTAACATTATTATTGATATTTAGTGGTTAAATGTGTTGACGATGATGACGATTATTATTATGATCATTATTATTATTATAGAATTTGACTCCCACCCCAATATATTTATTTATATTTATATATATTTATTTATATTTATTTATATTTATTTATATTTATTTATATTTATTTATATTTATTTATATTTATTTATATTTATTTATATATATAGTTTTGATGTTAATCTGACCTGGGGAGGGGGGCAGCATACACTATTATATTTTGGAATAATTTAATTATTAGTAGTAGCAGCAGCAGCAGTAGTAATCATAGCAGCAGTACTGTTAGTATTATTACAGTACTGGTTTTCTTTCATATATTTCTTCTTCTTTCTCAAGCATACAATTCCAATGTAAACATTTCCCATTCCATCTGTTTTTTTCTCATGTCATTTTTTTTTTTTTAAACACTGTTGATTTGTCTTTTTCAGGCATTGAGTTCCCGCCATGTAAAGTAGAAGTGTTCCGGTTACTGGAGAGAGTGGACTACCCCAGAGATGCCAATGGAAACATTATCGCCATGGTTCACCCAAATCTCCAGGTAAATGTTTTAACGTTTTCCTTAGTTTCGCCAATTTTTTTTCCACATTTTTTTCCCCTGACGTCAGAACATGCATATGTAGGTAAGTCCTGCTCGGATCAACACACTGAAGTCTGTCACTGCTATTGTTTCAGGATGGGGACTGGGAGCCTCTGAACCCCGGTGACCCTATGTTCCAAACATTTGATGGAAACACCATCCCCTACCAAGGCTTTGGCACGGTCTATCCCACTTTTATCAATGAAGCTGCCTATTATGAAAAACAACAGGCGTTTGTGACCACTCGAAGAGAAACCTTGGTAGCAAGTGCTATCAGAAAAGCATGAAAACTTGCTTTGTTGAGCTATTGCTGAACACGGGTTAACCTCCACAAACAACTTTTTGGCTAGATTTTGATTTTGCTATGATCCCTTAGAACCTGACAACAGACTCCTTATTTAATGACAAGAATATAACTTTAATT